TAGTAGTGAGGCATTGGCCTGTCTCTCTGCTATTTCCCAACTGGCAGTTGGGTGCCATGCGTAAATTCTTCCAGCTCGAGGTTGTGGGTCTGCCCTGACGTTGGTAATGAGAGTAGCCAATCTCACCCTAAACTTCTTTTCATAAAATAAAAAAATAAAAAAAATATTCACCGTCCACTCCTCACTCTATTAATAATTATACGTTTTAAAAAAAAAAGTATATGATGACAGTGTACGAGTGCGAATATCAAATTCTCAAAGATAAATAGTGTAATATTATTTCCTACTGTTCACAGTAACGTAGCTTTTTCTTTTTAAAATGAAGTTTTTCACGATCATGAAATATTCAAAAGCATATTCTGTAAAATGTTTACATTTGTGGATGATTTCCCTTCCCAGAGCCACCATCCTTAGATAGATACTGCCATAGATCTCATAAATAATAACTCCACAGCTTTCTTAGGCGCGTCAATTGGTGCGTGCAAGATTCAAACTTCTGTTATCTTTCTCAGCTGCACCTTCATAAATAAGTAAATATGTTTATTTATTACCCTTTCATCACCTTCCGTTTCCCTTTCTTTACTCAAACTCCTCTCTCTCTCTCTCTCTCTCTCTCCTTCTCTCTCTCTGACCAATTTCTCACCTCTTTCTTCTTGTTTTCTGCAGCACAAGGGAACCAATTTCTGACTTTTTATTCACCAACCCATCTCTCTGTTTCTAAATCTTGGCTGTTTGAAGTCGTATATATTGATTATGCACAATTTTGGGGATGAATTCACAATAGAAAGCTACAGAATCCCATGGCTTGTATGGATCCAGGTGATGGTGATGATCCTCCTCCTCATTCTTCTCTTCTGCTTCAGCATCTTAGTCTTAGATCTCGATGACCACAGCAACACCACCACCACCACCAGCAACAACAAGCCTTCATCTTCTTCCACTAGCCGCTTAGTTTCTGATGATCTTCCCAAGCACAACAACTCAACCACAGCTTTTACACA